GTTTGCTTTGATTGGTTGTTGAAACAGCCTTGTTCATATTTTCTCACGGCCCATATTAGTGACCTAGACATTGACGTAGATTAATGTCAACCAACTGGCTAGCAGGCTGCTCTCACCACACATGTACACAGAAGAGGGCAGACAAAGGAACTTATCTTTGACACAAACAGAGGAAAGCTTTCAGCTAGTCAAGGTCAACTGGAGTTTTGCAGCGAAGAAAATCTCACTCAATAATATGAGTATGTGCGAAGCTTTATGACAATTAAATTAGGGATGGTTTCTCTAAGAAGTGAAATTATGAACATTTTTTATCTTGCCTATACTCTGCTATCTTATGAAGCTGAACTCTGGGTTAACGCTTCTGACATTCGTGCCTCCTAGATTGACAGCGGAGTTTGAAATACAGATATTTCTTATCCTGTAGCATAAAATGTACATAAGACTTCCTTCCCTGTGAACAGGTCACCAAATTTAAACGCTAGTCAACTATCCATTTCATGAAATTTTTCTGTGATTGGATTCGTTTTATGAGGAACACATCAAGAAAATGAATGCCAGTTAACAATCCTTTCCTAAGGAATATTAAATAGATGGTTTTCATTCCTCAAGGGATTAAAGGTGCTAGCAGGTACGCAAGATACGCTATATATAAACTCAAGTGTTTTTCCCCTAACTCCTAAAGTGCTTTTTCTGCTGAGATCAGAGACTGCTGAAATTAACAGAAATGCAGAGCGATGATGGCTTATCAATGAGCTTGGGTTCGTCCTGGGATAATCACACGTTAGACAACAACTTACCAAACGGTGTGGATGCTTGACAGTGTATTTACGACTTAACAAGTCAACTTAAACGGCGAACGCCAGCATCCTATTTCGAATGATGAATGGTATGGGCTAATGATTGTGTGGAATTACTTACCAGTTTTCAAATGAAAGAGAAGTAATTTTAAACCCACCATTCTGACTGTAAATTAAGAATTTGCCGTCAATTACACTTCCTGAAAACCCCCATTGAGTCATATGAAAAAGAGAAGACGTTCGGCGAAGAGACTCTTTTCGGCGAATTCATTCACACAGCTGTACAATCGCATTTATACATAATTATTTGTGTGTGTGTGAACATGAGGTTTGTCAAGTTTAGATAATTGATCAGGTAATACAAGAATGATCTAATAAAGAAACAAGGTTAATCAGACAGCAACTAAAGTAAGATTGAGGTAATAAGTTAGATGACGTAATGTAACTGACTAAAATGTTTCAACTTAGGTCAGGGTAGCAACAGATGTATTTACGGGTAGAGACTAAGTAGAAGTGGGGTAGAGAATAACGCCATTTAAATTAGAACTGAAATTGAGCAATTAAGTTGGATGACGTAACATAAATGACTATAAATTGAGCGTTGGTCAGGTCAATTAAAGTGGTAGTGAGGTGTAGAAATTAAATCGGGTGGGGATAGAGAACAAGAGAGTTGAAAATGTGAAATATTACAATTGAGAAGGAAAAAGTAATACTAATGAAGACTCAGACAGATTGGGTAGGATTTACTTGTCGGGTAATAAGATAGATTACGTCCATTGCAAGTGTAGTGATTGAACGAACTTCTTCTGTATGTAGAGTTCAGGACTAAGCAAGTGAATCGCCATTGCATCTGCAGTATGAAGAAGTCTGATTCGTACATCTTTGGGATGATTACTTCTCACTCTATAGACGACTTTGAAGTTTTTTTGGGGTGTAGCTTGGTGTCCGGATTCTATCAAGTGTTCTAAGATGGAGCTGCGGGGGCATCATTTTTCTCCTTTGTAGACTTCAAAACACCCAATGGCTTGGCTAATCTGATTATTTTCAAATGATTCCATCACAATAATATACTTCTGTCTATATATCTTGTTGTGAAAAGGACAATGAATGCGCACCCAAACAAAAGTTCCTTACGGCCTACTGTGGTCTATGTATATCGACACAGTGACATAAATAACAGATGGTTTTGAGACTTTATTAAGCATTCAGATCACAACTAATGAAGACATGTGTTAGCTGATTTTATTGGAGTATCTTGTAAACTCCACAAACTGAAACATATCATCAATGAAAAGCTTAGATACTCGCCTTCGAAATTGGTTCCAGTATTTTCGCTAGCCGCTGAAAATACCATGATAACGAATAGCCATCATATGAAGATCTGGAGAGGAAATTAATTTCAATTTGTCATCAATTTACTAGTCCACATAAACATGGAACTGACGGTCGGTTACATTTATAAACTGGGGGAAATTACTGTCATAGTGCTAGTACATTTTCAAAACATTTACTCGGTGATTTTCAACCGGCTAACGTTTGCTTATTTTTGCATATTGAGTGACTCACATCTGTATGTGCATAATTTTTCCAGTGTTACTCTAGGCAAATTCCATTTAGAGATATTATGATCAAGTCTTAAATTTTACGATCAAGGACACAAGATTAACCAATTCGACACCAATATCAAGTCTGAAAATTCGATTCTACGAATAAATGAACTGATCCTATCCCGAGACGAGGAACGTGATAAGTTTTAAATTATACCAGTTGAGAGCTGTCACGAAGTATAAAAACAGTAATTATTCTAGCAAAAGCTTACTAACTGTACAACATCCATTAGTCCTAGGGAAGCTGAGAAGTGATGAAAACATTATGATTAGTAGGTCAGATGAAATGGCCGGGGTTGCAGTGATGAATAAATCTCAGTATGTTGACAAGATGAATCGGCTTCCAGGCGATGAAATGAAGTTTCAAAGCTTAACAATTTAACAGACTTAGATTGAAATGCTAGAAATCAGCTAACAAACACATTTAAAGAACGGAGGAAAAGTGAAGTAATCTGTGAGGCAGCCCACAACCTATTGGTTAGCATAAAGTATATAAAACAGGAATTTCCTTAGCCCAGTTATATAAGTGTCTGATTTTGAAAGGACTATCTGGACTCCTTTAAATGTTTTACAAAAAAGTGGTAAGTCACAGTGTTAAAGACTCCTTTGAATTCATTTTTAATTTATACAGTATAAAGGTAAATTGGAGGCTTTTATCCTTGGATGTCGCTTCACTGTCTACAAATGTACCACTTATGGAGACTGTGGGATGCTTATGTCAACAAATACTAAAAAATATTTCAATATTGAAACTCAAATTATTAGCCTTAGAGAGCTGCTTCTAAGATTTACTATGAGTGTACACCTCTTATTGAACACCATTTATTACTGAGAGATGAACGGGACCAACCTGAGTTGGCACTAGGTCCAATTTCTTTCTTGCTAATCTGGAAAGGGTTCCATTTAAACAAGCAACAGATGAAATGGATTCTTATTCATTTTGATGGCACATCTGTTACTCTTTTTGAGTAAACCGACAGGAATGAAGTGCTTGCTAAGTATGCTGATGCACACCCATCCTGCATCCTCACTTCTGAGGAAGAACATGATGGTAGATAACAGTCCTTGATATCTAACCGAGGAGAAAGGAGGACGGCCCCTCAAGGGAGATGTCTATAGAAAAACTACCTCCATATAACAGTTAACACATTTCTTCAATTTCGTATCCAAGCAGTACCAAATGAATTGGTCGCATGCTTCACGAATAGTGCAAGAAAGATCCGTACTAATGAATCCTTAGAAAATGAATTGGAATACATCCCAAGTGCGCTGGTGCGAACGGGTTATCCTAGGAGATTTGTATGTCTAGCAACCACTGGGTAGAAGAAATAACTATTTCTGAAGCTGAAAGTTGATGAAGACATGGCTAATGAAGTCCTACACCAAAGACTATCTAGAACCATAAAAACGGACTTATATTGGCTCTATCCTTTGTTTGTCACTTTCCAGCCAATCCGTTACGATTACTCAGTCGAAAGATAAGCTATCTAGCTGCGCCAATTCTATCCCCTATGTGCACTTATAACTTTAGCTGCTTGTGTGCAGAAAGTTATTTAGGGCGAACAACTAGACAGCTCAGTGAACGCCTCACGTTTTCATGGTTCAAAAAAGGTCAAACAAAATTCATAGGAGTTTCTACTTTATCTCATTTGATTAAAAGCGGTAGCCAAGTGAACAAACGAAGTGCCTTGAAAGTAATCCGTAGCATTTCATCAAGCATTTCCAACAGAATTCAAAATGATGCCTAACAAAGTGATCTGTTAGAAGTCCCATTAAAATGATATCTGTTGTAAAATGATCCCAGTTTCAAGAAACGTTTTTCTACTGACTTTAGGCTCCAGAGTAAACTACAGGCATTTGGATAATCACTTGTCGAATCAACTCACAATATTTTTGAAAAATACTATTATCCAAGCAAAAGTATTTCCTAAGATATCCATTCACTGAGACATACGCCAACTGCCAAATGCTGGTTTAGAAGGATTGGGTTGGTTACAGGCTGCATCACGAGTTGAAATCAGTTAGAGAAAAATTAGAAAACCTCGGAGTGCTGGACAGCTATTTCATCATCCTAGCTAGGGGTTCCCCATCGATACGCATACACCGACAAGGTTCGAAACCAGGAGGTTCCATTAACGAGGTTAGCCAGTAGACTGTTGGGAAACTGGGACCGGACCCAATCATCCATAAATTCCAGTTTATGCCATTGGGTCAGTTGAGCTTGCCTCGTAACTGGGAGGTCATGGTTTCGAACGAGGGTGGATGTTTACTGAAGAAGAGTTACAAACTAGGGCGAAACAACTGTTCAATACATTCTGCCGGTTTTCCAGTGGTTCTTTAACGGATGCCAGGTCATGATCGATCCAAAATATGTCAAATGAATATCTATTTGCACACAATAATCTTGTAAGTAACTATCTGATATTTAATAAAAATATATTTATTTAAAAATATATACGCGCATATTTAAGTACTACATTTAAAACAATGTGTGAACAGTTTAACTTGACAGTACAAGATCACAAAATGCGAAACATCACAAGAACAACCGATAACGATTCATAATAATCGGGTATTTTATTCGCCTTCAGCTTCATCATGGACATTCATTCTAAAAATGTTTATGTATAAAAATGATTAAATGTCATTATCTTATATGGCATAAGAAACCGTGATTACTTTACGAATAATAAGTAAATATTGTGCAAAATTCACTCTCCAGAGGACAGTCTATTTAACTTGAGGATAAAATGTCTATCTGTTTAACGTAGGAGACGGGGAAGAGATTCCTACCATAGCCAATGAATGTATCAGTTTTGTATATGTCCATTCAAACTAACAGTTTTTAAGGGTCTTCTGTCGAATTTTTCCTCTTTGTCAGACAAACCACTATTCAGCAATCGATCAAAGTAAGCAATAGAAACAGTTTTATACGTACAGAAACCCCGTAACCCGCACGCTGCACTCTGACACAAAAGTAAGATCAAGGACGCTGGGTCTAGTGACAAGACTGTATGTCAGTTTTACTAGACACTTCAATCTTATCGAAAAGATGTTAGAAAGCTAAGAAGAAATATTTCATCACAGGAAATACTATCTTGTTTTTACGAGTTGATCACGGATTGACATCAGTTAGAGAACCATTGAAAACCAGCCAAGGAGTGATGGGCAGCTGCTGTTTCATCCTAGTGCTTGGGAATCATTGGCAGTACGCACCCACCAACAGGATTCGAACTCAGGACTTTCCGGTTACAAGGTAATCTCGTGTACCCTTCAGCCACTGACCCGATGCAATATCCAGCTGGCCCATGAATTCTAACTTCTACCAATTCGTGATTTTAGCACGATCCCATTATCATAAATGTCAGGGTAATTGTGAAAAGAAAGTTTAGTGATGGCCATTCGAAGATATATGATGTTTCGTATCTCGCATTCATGTGCAATTAGCATATACTTCACAGTGATCTTTCTTCAGTATTAATATTTGAATCTCATACTACGAGTTCCTTTTATTAGTTTGAAAAATTAGAGAATGAACACTTTTGTAGGATACCACGTGCTCGTTTTATTTTGGTCAATTCTTTTCTACCGCATACACCGTAAACAGAATCAAAGTATAAGTTATACAGTTTTTGAATATACCTCATTTACAGTGCCATCGAGTTATAAATAAGAAGTATAATATCGAAATCTAAAACATGAAAATTAACCAATTTTCATATGCTTGCTGTACAATGTGGAAGAACCAACATTTTAATCAAGGAGGTTTTGAAAAGAAAATTCTCGGTAAACAGATCGATTCTACTTTACAACACAGTAGGCTCACTCAAATATAGAAAAGTTGCCTTCTCAAGCCAATTGCAACTGCATTTACCAGTTAACGTTCGCTTACAGGAGCAAGTACATAGAAAGCGAGGGAGACGAAAGTGTGAACTAGATTTTCTCAGAATATCCCTAAATGTCTCCGTATGAAAGGCAACAAAATTTTCTCCACTACAATCGCCAGACAACCAATCCACATTTTGTGCAAATTAGTCAGACTTTCAAAATAATCAATACACAAAGAAAACCATAGTAGTTACCTAGGTTCTCAGAACCCATTCCTACCAAAAGAATTCTACACGATGTCACTATGCACAAAGGCAGTGTGACTAATCTGTCGCTACACTGACAAGTGTAATTGATTTGTTTGTGTGCTCTCCTGTTTTCTTCTCTTGTCTAACATCAACTTAATTTCGACTTACATTTTCAACGACCGAGTCGAACTCACTATTCATTTTCCGAATTCACTACTCACTTGTTCGTATATGTTATAGTTTGAGTTTACTGTTCGGCCACACCTTCGTCAGCTCTCCATCACGATGTGTTTGAATTCAGTCTGTTCTTCGATCTTTTTGTATTTTGTATCTAGTCGATTCGTGTTTTGAAGCGAAATCTCAACTCCATCTTCTCTTGTCTATTAACACTGAACAGTTGAAGAGGCAAGTGGCGAGCACGAATAGCTCATTGGTCACGTCATTGACTGAATTACTCAATGGCTGACATGAGTTCAAATCTCAGAAGGGACATGAGTTTCCTCCAGGGTAGCAGACACGCATTGGGGACTACTGGTGAGTGTCAACTAGCAGGAACCTGTCGATCGCCTCTAATCATCTAATACACTGAATAATTTGTCCAATTACACTATTTATTTGAATGATGTTGCTCTTGCTTTCTATTTATAATTCGAATTCACTGTGAGTTGAATATGTTCGAAAATTGTGTAACTTATATTGTGGTATTGTTTAGGAAGTGTGCAGCTGAAAGGATCGATGAAATGGAACGTGCTGGTATTATCCTGCAAATACGTTCATTCTTTGATTTTTCGAATGAGTATCTGCGCTGTGGTTGAATATAATCCCATATTAGGTAGATAAGACACAGTGATGCAGTATTTATAACCTGGTAACCTTCCGAGGAACCATTATTAGAACTTACTGTAACATTCATATCAGAATATCTTATCGATTGTGCAGTGATAATTGTGTAACTGACCAGAATCTATCGTCTGTTTTTAAGTTAGAAAATCTGCATAAATTTCCGAGGAGAAACCACTTCATTTTTGATATTAACATGGAAATGTTATGCCCACATATTCACACAGTTCAATACCGCATACAATATATATATATATATATATTTTTGAACATTCCATTTGATGTTAGACAGAATACATTTCCCACGACTATACACTTCATTAACAAAATAATACTATGTATATTTAAACACTCTATTCCATGTTGCTTGATGTAAGCTGCAGTCACACGCTCGCTGATTGATTAACGAGTATAAATTGTATATATATAAACAGTGGTTTGATCAATGAGAAGTATACCTTGGCTCCCATAACTTCACTTTTACTATTACACTTTTGCCTGACCCTGGCGCATATTCGTCGGTGTTTCGCCTCACACTATCATATGCTGCCAACATCCGACCTCCCAGCAGCCGAACTGTTCGGCCTGTGTAACTGGCCGCACCGACAGTTCTAAAAAGCCCTTTTTCTTACAAATTCACTTCCTCTGAAAAAACATCAGCGAGATACTGACACAACGCCTTAGAAATGCAGTAAAATGAGCATTCCCTGCTGCTGAATTACTCTTCAGCTGTCTTCAAGACCATTCCTCTTTTACGTTCAGGAGTAAGACAGAAACTGCCTAATTTCGCCTCTTCCATGTTCATCTATCTACCAATTTAACTGCTCATGTGGAGTGAGCCAGTTATGTAAGCCGTACAATTAGGCGTGTTTCTCATCGGATTTCTGAACATCACCCTGTGTGGTTAATTAAAGGACAAACAAAATCTATTCGTAGCGCTATTCTCTCTCACTCATCTTGTGGATACCGAACACAAGATTTATGTCAACAAGGCAGCTTTCAAAGTCATTTACCGCATACCAACAGATCTCAATTTCGCCTTAAGAGTTCGACTACTAAATATTACTGAGCTGTTGGGATCAACATTAAGAAGCCTAATTTATACGTCCAAAAGAAGCTAGTTTAGACATTGTCCTTACGTTGGCCATCTAGGTTTGAATGATCCTCAATTAAAATATGCTACAACTCTAACGTTAGAGAGTTAAATTTTTGTATGCCACTTCATTTTTCTATGAAACTGTATATAAATAAGTGGGTATACATATATGCATTTCAACAGCATTTATTCGACTGAAAATTAATATATATTTAGAGATTTAGTGAAATTATAACGAGGAATAATAGTTTCAACTAACCTTGCATATATCTGGGCATCTAGGACAATTTACAGTCGCTGTGATTGTATCTCTTCCAACAGTAACTTCAATATTCTTAAGTCCACCGTATAAAGGACATACAAATGGCGTGTTATTGATTATTATTTGAAGGCCAACTTTCCTTGAACACTGATACTAAAGGAAAAATCCATTTTTTTGGAATTAAGATGAGTACTCAAATTTTATTATTTATACTAGGGGGTAAACGTGATGATGAATTATAAGAAGTACAAAGAAAGGACTTTCAATTACAAAAGAGAAGAATAACGATGACTGCTTTCAACTTATACCCAAAATACTGAGAGAATAATCTCTAAAATAACCTACACTGTTAGTCGCATCATGAGAATCAAGTGAAATCACACGATGGTGTACACTCCTAGTTGATATAACTTATCAGAACCGATCATATTACCAGATCATCGAAGCTACTAGCAGGGATACTGGTAATCTGTAGTGGTTCAATTCTTTTAGCTAGATTAATACGTGCATATCACTGATAGATTTGATTGAGAATCAGCGAAATGACAGTCAAGTGTTCAAATAATCTCAATCAGACCAGGTATCAATACTTGTTGGCTTAAGCTGGCTTACAAACTAATTATTCACAACGGTCAGCATTAAGTACCTCACATTGTAATTTCCAAACAGAGGTTCGTGACCAGTCAAATCTAATTCTTGACAATACCTAGTTGGATAAGTAGTGTACAATGTGGAGAGGGTGGAAACCACTTTGCAAACAAATTCATTGTGTTTACTTAGAATGATGGTAATCATATAAAACTAGAGATTCAAAAGTAAGTATGTAACTGTTTGTATTTCTATTTCTTGTTCACAAATTCGATTTTGTTGTGTAACTTGTCCAACCGTTAAATGAGGTTACTGGAAAACCAAAACTTCTGCATCCAATAAAAATAACTTACATGGATAACAAATCCAACCGGCTTATTTCTTAACCTAGCCAGTACAGTGATTTATATGCTAGTTATGTCATCGCACAAGTGAAGCCCTTGGCATTGCTCTCCTGCCAGAATCAAACACTGAGAACATAATCATCCCCGACATCGCCTATATGATGTTAATAATTGAAATCTATTCGAATTTTTCATGACATTTTAAGGACACAATTTAACTGTACAGCCTTCATGATAACAGTATAAAAGACTTGTAGATAACTTATGAGAAATCTAGAGTGATAGCTTGCAATTGACATTCTGATTTTATATACCAAACGTTTGAGTTACACGTAAAACTGCTTAAAAGTAGTACATGTCCGAAATATTTAATTGGTGGATGGTGACTAGCAGTGGAATCCAGTCAGGATGCGCATTTCGTCCTATTTGGGACTTGTTATCTGAATGTGCTTGCATTTCTCAGTGAGTGATGATGTTCCCACCGAGGTTTGAACCCAGTGTCCATCGTTTCAAACGCCAAAGCTTTATCCACTATACCACTTGGGGCACGAGAGCCACCTCTTGTGCAACGGGTCATATTAATTTTTGAATTGAATTTTTGAATTTCCCGTGAATTGATTGGACCGAAGTGCTCGGTCTCAAGTTGATATATCGGCTTCTTGTGCAGATGCTTCGACGAGTCCCAAACAGGACGAAATGCGCGTTATCCTGGATTCCACTGCTAGTCACCATCCACCAATTAAATTCTAATTAAATGCCCATACATCGTCCGAGTATCTGCACAAGAAGCCGACATTTTAACCTGAGACCTAACACCTTGGTCAATTCAATTAAATATGTCTGAAATACGCTAAAATACTACAGTAAGTGGAGTATACAAAAACTAAAATCATGAGATATGTAAGCTAAATACCGTCGAAAGCAGAGTCACTGTACGTTAATAGAAAAAACTGTAGAGTTGCGTTGTGAAGCGATCCATGGCTCGTAATCAACAACTCAGGAGTGTAGATATCAAGAATTAAGGGATAAGAATTAGATAATGTTTAATAGAGAATTGGACGAAAAGAAAACATGTGTAGAAGATACCACTTAAACAAAGAACCATAATTTCTATAGACCAAACAGCATGCTGATACATGAAATGAAATAAGCCTCAATGGAAAATCAGTAACTAGGGCTGGGGAGTAAGGATATGGGAAATAAATGTGAACTGATACTGTGGTGAGAGTTGGCTGTTAATCAAAATTGGTGGACAGTAATTTACGTCAATGTTTATGTCCCTAATATTGGTCGTGAGAAAAATAGCAACAAAGACTTTGCGCAGGCGGACACAGTTAACATATAGATGATCTGACATTCAAGAAACAGCCACAAAGAGATGCAAGGTTGACTTTCTGTGAGCAACAACCAATCAGAAGACTGTGTTTTGCTGCTAACAATAATCTATAATATGTACATGAAAATCTATAAATGTTTGTTGATTTCCTTAATAAACGATCTATTGACTGGCCCTTGTCTTCTATTGTCACAATACTATTTATTAATATGAATAAGCGTGCATCTAAAGGCAAATTAAAAAGTAAGAAAACATGTATACATAAAGTATTAAGTAAGATTATTCTTCATTACACTGTGTTTTCAAAAATTTATCTGTCTTCATTTAGTGACTGTCTTCAATTAATTATCTGATAGGTACTTTACATCCCATGAGGCTTATGAAGCTTCAACCTAAAGATGAAAGGAACTTAGTCAGACATCTTCACAACCCGATAAAGAGACTCATTATGAAAACGTCTCCTCAAAAATCGATTTGTATTATTTAATATTTCATCTCATTCCCAGTGGAATATCCGGTTTCAGTAGCATATCTGCATTTATCCTGGTTCCCCATAAGTGTATTTAGTTGGTCACAGGTTGACCTCCAACACGCTCCACTCCTCATTTTGTGTTCAGTTTACACCGAAACAGTTACCAGGAGTGAGATGTTACTCAACGGTCTGATCAGTGTGTGACCGATCCATCTACATTTTGATACGCCATATTTCTTCAGCGATTGCTTCTCAGTTGCTTCCTTCACACAGTTTCTCCTTCCTCATCACTTCCAACTCCCCATATGATCTTCACTATCCAACCAGTGAAGGCAACCGTTCATCACAATATGCAGTGGTCTGTTCGAAATGCCTTCCGTGGTGCGCATCACAAGATTCTGATTCAAACAGAAGAACTGTCCGACTTGACATTGGTGTCGAAAAACCCAAACTTGTCCTAGTCATGCTGAGTGCACCAGATTTCCAAACTGATTTCACAGTGTTGAAGGTCTGTCTCGCCTTACAGACCCTCGATGAATTTCAAATCCTCATCCGTGTTGTCGACCGCAGTTGAAACGACACTTCATACATAGGTGGGGAAAGGTGACCTATTAAAGAATGTATTCCATTTATAGTAATTGGAGTTCGTTATTGTTGTTGTTGTCACTTTCGCCACTGTTGGTCGGTCGTCTCCGTAATATTCGTCTTCTCTCCGTCCACTTGAAGTCCTGTCCTCGCTGCCTGTCTCTTCCGCCAACTTGTCCGTTTCACCTGTAGATCTTCGAGTGTGTGTGACACTAGATATGAATCATCTGCAATGTCCAGATACTCTGGAGCCTGCCTATTGTCAGGTGTAATCCTGTCTTCTCACTCTCCACACTCAAGGTGTGGAGAATGATCCAGTCGACCACAGTTAGGAATATCATCAGTGATAGTAGGAAAACGGCCTTCTCCCACTGCTATCTTCACTCTGAAGGCTCCACTGAGCTGCCCGTTATGGATCAGCTGACATGTGTCACTGTCATATAGCCAGCTGCTGAATGAGGTGGATAAGGATTTGGGTCACTTTACTCCGTAGTGCTGAATCGGTTTCCAAATTACTTCTCGTTAACACTGTCTGTTGAAGGCCTTTACAAAATGGACGAAATTGAGGTGGAGATCTGACTGTCACTCTATGCTCTCTCTGTTTGATGATGTTGTATAGAGTTGTGATTCGACCTGCGCGTGATTCGACTTTCCTGAATGCAACTCGTTCTGGGTGGAGTTCTGCATCCAGTGCATTTTTATTCTCTCAAGACTGACTCAACTTGACAGTTAACTCAGCGTGGATAAGAATATGATTTTGTGCCTGTATTTGCATAGGACTAAGTTTCCGTCCTTTGTCAGTTTGACAGGGTAACTTTTCTTTCAGACACTTGGTACCTTTCTTTCCAGCAGTTTCTTTATCCCTTCTTATTGCTCCAGTTCAGCCCCATTTTAGCGTATACAACGACTATAAGGATTCTGATGCTTCCAGTTAGAGTGTTGAGCACTACTGTTTTCGGTCATCTATAAAAATCTTCCTGTCATTGCTGACGTCATGACAGCTACTCCTTAAGTGCGTAAGTAGTTGTTATCTGGTGGCAGGAGTGAGTTACTAACTCCCCGTTTGTTAATTCTGATAATCGATACACATTCCACTTGCTACCTTGGATTCCTAGCCCTTCCATCCATCTCTTCTCAACCCTGTTACTAGGCAGCTTTCCCACCTTCGGTCACAGTACGAAAACTCCACGTTCCCATGTGTAATTTCTTTCCCATAGAAAAAATGCACAGCGGCTGACCAGCTTCCCATAGGCTGTCAACAGCCCGTGTCATTCTGTCTCGTAGATTCCAGCGAGGAATAAGTTTGTTCTTATACTGTTGTGCTTTGAAGTTTCTACAGAGGTCAGTTTGATTTTCCGTGGTAGGAATGCTATCCCATGTAAAACCTTTCCTCAGATTCGGGATTAGCTAGAATACTAGGGAACTTGTAAACTATGCGAGGTTGGTCCAACATTTAACTCGTTGTTATTATAATACCTTTGTTATTCAATTGTTTATGATAACAAAGGAATTAATGCAAAATTACTTAGTAATAGCTTACATAAAGTTAAAACCCAAGCCAATCTCGAAACATAATTTCCCTTTATAATAATATTTAACCTAAGACATTCGAAAGGCATGGAATGAAAAGGATGTAGTAAATGCTGCAACACAGTATTCCGGTGTACTATTGAATCAAGGGCCAGTCCTAGACATTAATTCAAAGAAGGTTTTTGTAAAATAGCGGTGATATGTGCAAATGTCCACTTTCCTTTCCTCTAATGTTTACATTTCCGTTGGAAAATAGACATACTATAGCACTTCTTTAATTAATATTTACTGGTTACATCTTCACTGGCTAAGGGTTAAGGCTGAAAGTATAATGATGAGCACCTTTGAGCATTTGTATTAGATGAATACGCCAACCATCTTATATTTCTTGTCAAATAAGAGACTAAACGGATAAGCGTCAGTAAAAGAACGGTGGTTATGTCTTCAATGGTTACAAAATGTAAATAGATAAATTTTCAATACTAAATAAGTGCGTCTATATGGTTTAGACTTCGCAAGTCACCAAAAGTTTTCCCAACAGGCTACTAGGGAGACTTTTATCAACAGCTGCCTTCAGTGGCTATGTATTGAAGATAAGGTAGTAATAAAGGATCCGCAATAGAGAACTGGAGCACAGAACCCACTGTCCAATAAAGATTCAGAGGAAAATGTAGGTGGATTGGACACCCACGCACACTGTGAGGAACATTGAGTAGTGCCACACAGTATACAATTTGTTAAATGGAAGCCGAATAAAGAAAGATGAATTAATGTCAATAAGAATTTTGAGCATTGTGAAATAGATATAATAAATTGTAATTAATATTTCAGTAGTTTGCACACAATGATAAGTTTTTGTTTTTGGTAATATTTTGAGCAAAACTGCTGCCTTTGATCACATTAACTGTTTTATGTGCAATTCCGAGAATTAAAAACAAAAAAAAACAATTCCAACAGTTGGTGTGATCCCTGGCAAAAGATTAATTCGACATACAAGAGCGACATGGAGGAGATCATGTGAGGCCGAAATGAAAGTTTATGGAAAATCATACAGCCAGGTAAGGAAGAATGTAGACAACAGAGTGAAAAAGGAGATGTGTCCCTTGTAACCTAAGGGAATGATGATAGAATAGATAAATAAACCTGAATGAGTATGGATAAGAATGGTTGAAAAATTGTGATTGTTCCTATGTAATCAAGAGAACACAAACATTCGCTTAGGCAAAATCAAGTGAAGTACATAATGAAATCAATAATGAAATCAAATCAATGAATTTAAGTGTTGGTTTGTAGGGATTTGGTTGGTTTTATCATGAGCTGACATCAGTTAGAGAACCATTGAAAAACCTGGGAGTACTGGACAGCCGTTCCGTCAGCCTAGTTCGAAACTCTTCAGCAGTACGCACCCACCACCAGGGTCCTAACCCAGGACCTTCCGGTTACAAGGCGAGCTCGTATACCATTAAGCCACTAGGACCCGATCCAATGGACAAACGATCAAATCTAACTTCTGCCAATTTACGACATAGCGCGACCGCTAGCCACTGTCTTCGGCGATTCACACCATGATCACCCATTGACTGGGTATTGGTTTTCAGGAGAACCAAACACACGCATCCCTGCCTCTTGCGAGACGGGAACGGCATGCAGGATCATCCTGTGGCGCTACCACTCGAGAGCCCTCTCGTGAATTGGCAGAAGTTAGATTTGATCGTTTGTCCATTGGATCGGGTCCTAGTGGCTTAATGGTATACGAGCTCGCCTTGTAACCGGAAGGTCCTGGGTTAGGACCCTGGTGGTGGGTGCGTACTGCTGAAGAGTCCCGAACTAGGCTGACGGAACGGCTGTTCAGTACTCCCAGGTTTTCCAATGGTTCTCTAACTTATGTCAGCTCATGATGAAATCCTGAAACAAATCAATGAAGTTTTTTGATTGGACACTAGTAACTAGTGTGATTTGTCTGGTGATTTCTTTGGTGCAGACTGAATTCTATCAGTCAGGTTCTGCAATGTGATCACCATTCTAGGTAGCTTGCCATCAAGGTGCACGCTGATTTGATGATATTAGGTGGTTTGAGGCAATTGGCAGGAACCCTTCCACCTAGGTTTCCTGCTAGTTGGCACTCACCAGTCAGCAAGGCGTATCTGCAACCTTGAAGGAACTCAGCCAGTGCTGCAGTCAAGACGTTACCACTGAGCTATGATATATTATGAAGTGTTCATCGGATGGTGTTTAAACTATCAAATTTCTGTGGGCAGTTGTGCCCTACTGAGTGATACTCCAGAATACTCGCACAGTACTCATATTTTTCAATAGACTCACATGTGCATACCATAAAATGAAAAGTGGTGATACGGTTATTGAAATGAAATCACCTAATCAATAAAGAAAACATTCAGAAGTTTTATTTAGAACAAAACTGCACATCAACCGGGTGACAACATTCACTAGAAAGTCAAGCTATTTGTTCAAAGACAGCTACCATTTTCGGTTATTTTAAAATAGTTTTGACAATGGTGAATACAATGTCATTGTAAGCATTTCACAACATTGTACCACCCAATGTGTATAAAGTTTCAATGTTCAGTCAAATTGTGACACTTCCTTTAAATGTTTTGGCAATACTTTAAAATGAAATAGGATTTCAGGTTAAGGAAGACGGAATTTTATGGAATCAAACACATATAGACAGATCACATTTTTGCTTACTTATAATCTATATTTAAGCTTCAGTATGATGAATTAGTGTCTTGTTTCTAATGTCTTTCTCTGCCCTAAACTGTAGATATTTCAAAGGTGAATGAATGATTCTTCTAACCATAAAAAACACTTCAAATGTGTTTGCTTTAATCATTTTAATCCTGTTGACAGTTTTCAGCGTCGGTGTCATAGTAGTTAGGACGCTCGCCGACCATGCAGATGGTCCAAGGTTCGAACCCCGGCCACCGACGCACTCCTTTACCTCACTTAGCCAGTAATAAGACTGGTAAAGAGGAAAGGTTGGACATGAGGCTAGCAACCCCATGCTGAAAAAATAAACACTGCTATTGAAACTTCAAGTCACTAGCTTGAAGCCCTATGTTTCACTGGGGGAACGTCAAAGAAAAAAATATATATATGAGAGTTTTCAACTTTAAATTCAGTTTCCTTAGAGCCTAACATAATCTTGAAAACTCTTAAAAAACCAGAAATAACCTTTATATCGTAAATTTGCAAAACTTACTCTGTGACAGGCTGTTTCACCAGTGAATTGGTATTTAGCTCTCGGGGTTTCATGGATCCATTTATTATAATTAAAACAAGCTGAATCTGGACCCATTTCTTCAAGAAAATTATTAGAACTTATATCTGAAAGACGAAAATTTGTGTATCAATTAATTCGATTTAAAACAATTAATCCCTTTTATAAATTTGAATAGTGTTATTAGAAGACAGAGGTTATCTGAAAATTACTGTGATGTATTTGCGCTATACATTTCGAACAATCTAATGATCGCACATTTATTTGTCAAGTCGATTTATTTGAAAAATTAAGGGCAATTAAATTAAACAAAGTGGCAAAATAGGATTTAAGAATGATTAAAACAACGTTTGGTAATCCAATCAAATAAGGATTACCAAGGTAGGTTAAAAGTAATAATAAACTGAATACACAGAGCGGGGGGTGGCTTAACTTTATGAGAAGCTATAGCCTCACCGTATTTCAATAAGCGCCCTTGACCAATTTTACATATTACGTGGAAATGCACAGTAGGATTTTGAGACAAAGGTTCAATTCCGTCAACTGTAGGACCTATTGTGAAGCCCGGCTTGTAATTATCCAAAAAGCCAAAGATATGCTCCACTGCAAACCTGAAAAGTGCACAAGCGATCATGTCACATCCTACACTATTTACCAATTTTCGTATGTGTATATGTGGACACACATACATAGGGAGGAGTAATCGTGCTTTGCACGTGAGAGTGGGACAGCGAGCATATCCCGAAATGGTTAGAAAAACAAATGAATTGTGGAAAACCAATAGTTGCGGGTGTCAGACTACCAACTTCGTCTATAGACAAACATCAAATCGAGATGAACCATAAGACTGATGTTAACACAACCTTTAAGGTCATCTATAAAAATGGTCAAAGGCGCTTACTGAAATACTTTGAGGCTATAGCTACTCATAAACTTAAGCCACCCCCCTTGTATATTCAAAAACAATTTATTATTACGAGTTGATCACGGATTGGTATCAGTTAGAGAACCATTGAAACCAGCCAAGGAGTAATGGACAGCTGCTGTTTCATCTTAGTGCTTGGGAATCATCGGCAGTACTCACCCACTGGGATTCGAACCCAGGACCTTCCGGTTACAAGGCAAGCTCGTATACTATTCAGCCACTGGGCCAGACTATGCATTCTAACTTCTACCAATTCGTGATTTAGCGCGACTTCAATGATTTTCGTTGGTGGGACATCCATGCACACACGTGACTTCTAAATGGAGCTCACTGGTCACGACTTCTCACTAGAACTCCAGGAAACTCCATCCTGGTAGAAGTTAGAATTCATGAGCTAGCCATTGAATCTGGTCTTAGTGGGTGAATGGCATACGACGTTTTGAGCGCAATTTATCGCTCATTATCATATCATATAACCTTTATATGATTATGAGCAATAAATTGTTCTGGAAAGGTCATCAGTATTTTAATTTAATTAACCTTACTTTTTCATATATATATATATATATATATATATCGACTTGACAAGTGAATGTGTGATCATCAGATGGTTCGAAATGTATAGCGCAAATACATTTTACAAATAATCTCCATCTTTTAATAACCCTATCCAAATTGAATATAAAGCAATTCGTTGATTTTCTTTTCATTTTTTTTTTGAAGTTCTGAGACACACACACACAGTAAGTAGACATAAATTACCTAACAACAGAAATGTTTTGGTTACGACATTCTGATTAAAAAGGTACCAATCATCACTGACGCACATGTACAAGGAATCGGATTTGACAGATGTCGATATCACTAAAATAAGAACCTCCTGAAATAATTCAGCAGTAAAATTTTCATTTCACAATGAGTAAGGTAAACTATAGTCGTCTTGTTATCTCGTCAAAACATTTTATAAGTAAAAAAAATATCTAAGGAATGCTAACAGATTCACTATAAACCAAACCAAGTTGACATTGAAAAAATTGAGGAAATTTGGCCATTGGGCATACGATACTATTAAAAATCTCAAGTATTTCTCAATGAATGAAAAACAAAACAATATTGTTGCTTTTATTGACGTTTTGCTATTCAATATTGTTATTAGCTTTATCAAAGTGGTATTATTAAACCAGAATTGAAAAAATTTCATATATATATATATATATATATATATATACAACGACTTAATCATCGTTCTTCAGCATGGGGTCATTTTTGCGTTGTCAAACTGGCCAATTAGTAGAGATAACAAAACCAGGTGTGGATTGTTGGATTTGATAAGTGTGGAAAGGTATAAAAGCAGCGTGTGTGTTCACATAATAAAATCGCTGATCATGTTCGTGTCAATTTTGTCATCTCATTAGGGAGGAAAGTGTTGCAACTAGGTCAAATTCTGTTTCAGTCCATCGTCCCTATTCAGACGATTTTGATTCCATTTGATATGAAGTGCTTCTGATGATGTGAGAGATTCTTTTTGATATCTGAAATGCATCTTCTAGATTATTTCAATGCCATCAAAATCAAATGTGTGGTCTGATTCTGTGGTGTGTAGACCACCAATGGTTAATAATTTTTAAAGCTTCTCTAGTTCAACTGGATTTCTCGGTGGTTGAACAGATGCCCTGTGGTGTTCATTTCTTCTTATCACCTTGATTTCTCTCTGGCGATGTTTTTTCTGAAGTATATAGCATCACATTCCAAGCAAGGATTTTATTTTATAGACACAAGTAGATAGAGAATCTCTAGGGATTTTACCTTTTAAATGGAAAAGACTGCTTTGCAGAAAAAACTCTGATGTCATGCTTATTGAATACTCTTCTGATAGTAGTCTGAAATTTCTGATCTATATGAAATGACAACCTTTGGGGTCCATATCTTCAGAATATGTTTTCGACCATATTTAATGTCATTGTTGATTTAGTTGATGAAGTTTTTCGGGTAGTTATTTTGCTTGACAGTCTCATTAATGTTTGATATTTCTTCTTCTGGTTCTTTCTCATCCGTTATCAAAGAGTGTGTTTGTCTAAGAAGACTTGAAACAAGTGGAATGTTTGCTCTGATGGATTGTGATGATCCGAAGTCTAAGTATTTGTTGGAGTGGGTTTTCTTCCTGAATATAGATATAGTAAAATGTCCGTTTCCCCTGCTCTTAACTAGGCAATCCAGAAATAGTAGTTCACCGACGTATGATACTGCTTTCGAAGCAAATTGGATGCTGAGCGATAGATTTTTCAGTTTCCCCAGGAATGAATTGTGCAGATCTCGTTTTAGCACTACAAAAGTATCATCAACGTATCTTAATCATAGTGTAGGCGCGAGTATGCTTGGAAAGATGTCATCTTCGAATCTATTCATAAAACAATCAGCGACTATTGGAGAAACTGGTGAACTACACAACATTAAAATTATCTCATGATTAGGCTGTTATATATAAGCTGAGAATTTATCAGTTCTGGTTTATTTATACTTTGATAAAGCTACTAACAACAATAAATAGCGAAAAGTCAGTGAAAGTAACAATATCTTTTTGTTTGGTGTTTGGACGAGTTCGGTATCCAAGGGTAGGTAACATGAAGAGGATATGTGAAGATGGAGTGAAAACATGCAGACAGTCATGATGGTGATGATTATGATGATTTAATTAGGATTATGGGGACCATGCATCAGTAGCACAGTGGTAGAATGCTCGCCAACCACGCCGAATGTGGTCCGGGGTCGATCCCCGGCCGACGCGCTTCAAAACCTCGTTCGCTAAGCCAGCAATAAGACTGGTAAAGCAGGAAAATTGGCCATTAGACTAGAAGCCTCATCCGGTAATATTAAACATCACTGCTACCGAAACTTCAAAGCCCAAGAAGGTTGAAGCCCTGTGTTCCACTGGGAATGTAAAGGAATAAAAAAGACAGGGATCAGCAAAAATCCGTCAGTGGTTCAATGATAGAATGCTCTCCAGCTATGGTGGGAAATACGAATTCGACTGCTGGGTAACACACTTTTAAGTCTCAATTAGCTGGTGGTAAGGTGTCTTCAGTGTCAAATGAAGGCTCAATATAATGCTAGTAAACGCATTCTGTAGAGATAACATCAACACTAATGAAACCTTAGAGCACAAAGCTTTATCCTCTGACTGGAAACTAAGGGATGAAGAAGGGGGAATAATTAAGAGGGAACATTCGAAAAATGAAATTACCGTTTTGAATTAAATAATAATTCCACTTTCAAACAGAAAGAAAATATAAACCAGATAGCATGGTTAAAATACCGATAGGTATATAAGCTTTCCTTTATTTTCTTCACGTTCCCAGTAAAATATAGGGCTTCAAGCTGGTGGCTTGAAGTTTCTTTAGCAGTGTTTATTTTTGCGGGATGAGATTGTTAGCCTCATGTCCAACCTTCCCTCTATACCAGTCTTATTACTGGATAAGTGAGGTGAAGGAGTGGGTCGACTGGTGAGTGAACCTCGGACCATGTGCATGGTCGACAAGCATGCTAACCGCTGTGCCACCGACGCACCATAAAGGCTTTAATTATCATCTACTACAGAGATATCTGTGGGCCAGTCAAAGATTATTCTAAATATAATTTAACCATAAATAACAGTAATGAGTTAACTTAATTTATGTATTCAAAACTAACTTAATTCCGTTGGAAATGGATCTCGACATACTGAAGGCAAACCACTGCGAGTGCCAGTAACCTGTTTAAAAAACATTTTTAAAAATGCACAGTATTAACAAAGGTGATAGAATCATATGTTATATTTTGTGATTATAATTTATCTTCATGGAAAAGTCATTTAATGGTTGGTGATCAAAACGGCGGTTTTCAATAAGTTATTTTGTCAGGGATTGATCTATTTCAAGTTCAGGCATGGATTGATATCAGTAAGAGAAGCACTAAAAACCAGGAAGTATTGAGTAGCTGCTTCGCCTTAATTTAGCACCGTTTACGGGACGTAGTTGCCTGGGGTTCTAGTGAAAATTTGTCACAAGGTAGGTCCACCAGGTCGGAACTGAGGAAAAATACTCCTTAGCGATGACACTGGCTGGCACCAGTCGCACTGAACTGACGAGTTGGTGTAAGTTAGAATTCATGGGCTGGACGCTAAGTTGAGTCCAAGTGGCTGAATGTTTCGTGAGTTCTCCTTGTAACCAGAAGGTTCTGTTTTCGAGCCCCAGTGGTTGCTTTTTCTCTGTATTGCTGATGACAATTCTCCATTTATTTGTAGATTCAAGTAAAGAAGTCCTTTATGGGCAGAAATTGTAGGCGGTTTTAGTGGTTCCCGCTTCATGAATTGTATGATGAAACGTTTTGTATAGCCATTCTCAAAGAAGATTGTTTTCAGAGCGTTCAACCTCTCTATCATTGTGTCAGGGCTGCAAATGTTGGAGATTTTGTGGCTCAGTAGATGCATCAGGTTTCATTTTGTGTATAAAGACACTCAGCTGCGAAAGTCGATGGGTTGTCCGTACAGTGTCGGCTTTCTGTAGATGGATCTTTTTAGCGTTCCACCTTTTTTTCGTCTAGTTAACTGAACACCAAGAAAAGATGTTTTTTGTCGGATTCCTTCCCCAATATGAACTGGATTTCAGGGTAGCAGCTTTTGAAAAAGTACAGTATTTCCTGTAGATTCTCCTCATTATTGGAGATAATGAAGGCGTTGTTCACCCACCTCTTGTAAAACCCAAAAGTCTCAGTCATTTTCGTTAGCTATATGTTTTCTAGTTTTGACATGAGGGAATCTGCAAACAACGAACCTAGTGGTGGGTACATAACTGTACCATCTTCTTGTTAATATATTTCACTACCGAAAGAGATCTGGACAACCTGAGTGCACCTCAACAGGAGTTCCGCAAATAATCAATCGGTATACCAATTATTATCCTCTTTGAATCAATATTTTCGCATGTGTAGCATATGGTTTCAGTTAGTGAGACGTTTGTAAACAGTGATATCACGTCTAGTTAAAAATGGTTTGATCAAAGATATAGACGTTTCCAGTGGAGTCGGCAAAGTTGAAAGAGTCATGGAGAATCTCAGACATAAAAACTTGTCTTCTGACTGATCCTAGTAGGTCTACTAACCATTGGGCAGTGCGATGATAAGGTGTATGCGTCATGTTGAGAACGAGTCAAAGAGGTGTGTCCTCCTTCTGTAATTTCGGTAATCCATAGAGTCGCAGTATGTGTGGCCTCAGCCATTTCAGTGTTAATGAATGATTCAGTTTTACGAGTTGATCACGGATTGATATCAGTTAGAGAACCATTGAAAACCAGGGAGTACCGTGATCAACTCGTAAAACATAACTAATCCTTACAAACCAAAACTATAGAAAGATTCAGTTTTAGTTCTGGCAGGAAGTCCGTTAGTTAGTTTTAATTTAATTTTCTCCGTTATGTTCTTTTCATTGACCGGTTTTGTGAATTTGGATTTGTTAGATAGGCAGATTAGCATTTTACTTATAAAGTCTTCGCGGCTCATGATTACAATATATCCATCTTTATCACGGTGTATCAGCATGACGTTTTATTGTTCATTAATTCTTTCACTTCTGTAGGGTATTTCTTGGTTAATATGGTCCTTCCGTTTGGTTTGGTATTTATTAACTGTCAAGTGTCAAGGATTGATGATCTGAATTGTTTCAGGTTCTCTTTAGATGTTTGTATCAGATTAAATGTTTGTTTTATCAGGTTTTTAAGATGAACCTGCGATCGTAGCTTCTGGATTCTTGATGGTTTTGGACAGAATTTCTGACCAAAGGATACTGCTTCTAGTTCCGTGTTTGACAGATTAAATAAGTATTTTTCTGGATTTTTTCAGAGTGAACGTTCAAGTTCTTCATTAGATTTGACTTAGTATTATAACATTATTTCTCTGCGATTACTTGTGCATATTCTTCAGAGAAATAAAGTCGTTCTTGATTTAAATCGTAGGCTGCATGAACTTGTAGGTAGATGTTGCGTTCTAGTTCAGTAACAAATGACCGATTGGAAATAATATTTTGTTTAACGTGTATTGCCTGAGTATTCTGGCAAATATTTTGATATTCATGTCGATCTAAACATTCTCTTACAAGAAACTTATGGTTGTCTTAGCTACTGAAATCTTCACAGAGTAAGGCAGGAAACTGTCCAGCTCCTTCAACGTCACTAGATCTTTGAAAAGTTTAAACAACTTATAAATCACCATGGCCTCATATTAAACAATAGACATTCAGCAAAGAGTTATTTTCTTCTCATCCGATGTATGAAGTTTCATGTTTACATAATTCTAATATTCCACAGTTATGTCGTAATATGATCAGATTCAGATGGAACCTATTTTCATATCAAGAGAGGTACTACGACGGCATCATTATAGTCTAGAAAGTAGCCTAAACCATCTATTAGATATCACATTGAGATTCAAAACATAGTCGAAGTCATTAATGTTGTGGCGGTGTGATACAGACAATGTGTCCAAACGGAATGTTATGCTTGAATATTCACACAGTTCAATACTGTATACAATATATATACATATATATTTGAACATTCCATTTAGTGTTAGACAGAATACATTTCCCACGGCTATACACTTCATTAACAAAAGAATACTATGTATATTTGAACATTATATTCCGTGTTGCTTGATGTAAACCGGAATCACACGCTCGGTGATTGTTAACGAGTTCAAATTGTAGATATATAAACAGTGGTTTGATCAATGAGAAGTATACCTTGGCTCCCATGTCTTGCCTTCTACTGTTCCATTTTTTCCTGACTCCTGTCGCACATTCGTCGGTGTTTCGCCTCACACCATCATATGCTGCCGTCCTCCAACCTCCTAGCAGCCGAATTTTTCGGCCTGTGTAACTGGCCGCACCGACAGTTTCTAAAAAGACCTTTTTCTTACAAATTCACTTCCTCTAGAAAACATCAGCAAGATACTGACACAACGCCTTAGAAATGCAGTAAAATGAGCATTCCCTGCTGCTGAATTACTCTGTGTCTTCAAACCATTCCTCTTTTACGTTCAAGAGGAAAAGAGAAACTGCCTAATTTCGCCTCGTCCATGTGAATCTATCTACCAATTTAACTGCTCATGTGGAGTGAGCCAGTTATATAAGCCGTACAATTAGGCGTGTTTCTCATCAGATTTCTGAACATCACCTCACGTGGTTGAGTAAAGGACAAACAAAATCTATTCGTAGTGCTATTCTGTCTCACTCATCTTATGGATACAGAACACAAGATTTATGTCAACAAGGCAGCTTTCAAAGTCATTTACCGCATACCAACAAATCTCAATTTCCCCACAAGAATTCGACTACTAAATATTGCTGAAGCTGTTGGGATCAACATTAAGAGGCCTAATTTATACGTCCAAAAGTAGCTACTTTAGACATTGTCCTCACCTTGGCTACCTAGGTTTCAATGATCATCAATTTTTGTGGAAATTTCCTTAATTTTTGCTACTATATCTTTACGATTATTATAATTTAAGCATCTTTAATGAACTGTAATTCCATTGATCTTACTTTACAAGTTAATATTATTTAAAAAGCATTAATATTGATATTGTCTACTCTTCTAGAATATTCTATGTATATAAACACACATATATATAAAATTGTAGAGCCAGAAGAGGAAATTATCGGAAAGGATACTCTTTGCTCAATTATTCTATGTTTTATATATGTCTGAATGAATATTTTTTTTATATGGCTATGTTGAGCAAGTTATCAGTCCTCTGTCACCAACCTTTCACAAATATTACATGATTTTCCCGTGTGTTACTTAAATAGGTACACATTTTCAGTTAATAGGAAAAATTGTCATCACACTACAGAGAGAGAGAGAGAAATCAGTGTCAACAAGAATAGGTCAGTCAGCCCATAACAACAACGATGGTCAAAAATGGTAGACTTTATTTTAGAGGAGACAAGTAATCATCACGGCTATATTCCAAGAAGTTTTTTGATACAATGTAGAAATTTCAGCATGTATTACAACAGTGCATCCTTTTTTCTCATGACATAATGCATTTACATCGCGAACACTGTTCAATAAGAACATAAAGACAAAGTTAAAATTTGATTGGAAATATTAACAACAACCTGATGTTCACTAGCGACCAGTCCTATTCAGGCAGTTAACATGCGAATCCAGTGGGAAGTCGTTACCAGTAGGGTACACAGTAGGTTAAAGTTGAGGCAGTAACTTATCGAAGAAGACATTTTGAAGTGGTCACGCTATGCCATGAATTGGTAGAAGTTACAACTCATGGACTGGCTGGCCACTGGATCCAATTCAGTCGCTAATGGTCTACGAGCACGCTAGCCTTGTAATCAGAAAATCCTGGGTTCGAGCCCTTTGTGATGGATGAGTACTGATGAAGAGTTGAAAACTAGATGGCGGAAACATCTGTCCACTACTCCTTAGTGGGTTTTCCAATATTTCTCAAACCGATGTCAGCTAATGATGAAATCCTCCATCCAATCAAACAAAATCCTTACAAAACCAATACTCGAAAATAATAATACAATAGTGAAAGGGAGAATAAAATGGACCGAGTACTTAGTTTTCCTCAGTGTAGCAGTATTGTCATTCCTTAAACTCTTCTCATCACATGAAATGTGTACCAAATAAGGTACTATAGTCTTCTACTGTTACTTCTAATCCTATCTAGTAAGATGTAAGCAAAACGTTGTGTATCGAGAGAATGTACAGGATCCAACAAGATGATATTTCCTAGTTTTTTTGCATGAGTCGGTGTTTCTGTCGAAAACAGTATTGACAAGTTGGTTTAGCGACACTTCACCCACCCTAATGAAAGGTTTTAATGGCCATCACAGTGTAACAGTCTCTCTTCAGTAGAACAGGAAGGATTAAGGGAGAGTTAAGAAAGAAGAATAGATGGAATACATGAATTAAAAAACCGTAAAAGTAGAGACTGTGTGACACTAGATTGTCTTAACTTCCTTACATAGAACGTTAAACGAAGTGTCTTCCTAGAAACTAAAGGGATGCGGGAAGATCAGGAAAGATCAGATGAAATACTCAGACCGAGGTATTCAATACTCGGCTTAATTTCAACTTCAGTACCATCTATGATACTAGAATCATGCGAACGAACTAGTTCATGTGAATCATGCTTGTGTCTCAAAGCTGAATTTATAATCTAACATTTGGAAAGTTTTGAGAAGGACCACTTATAGACTCAACTAATTGGCATATTCACGCACCTGCCTACCAGAAATTTACACCTGTCCATGAGGGTAATTAAAAACCTAAGGAATCGCTTATTTCCAAGAAGCTAAGAACCATACACAACTCTTAGGTACTCAAACTAGCTTCACGCAGATAAGATTGTTGATATACGTAGATAAGTCACATATGACGCCGCATTTTCATCAGGGGCATAGACGTAACACAAAAACCAACTACAAATGTCATGCGTCTTAAGAGTTAAAGATGAATCTCGAAAGGTTGCTACTTGACGTACCACATGATACCTTTGGAATACAACGCGGGATGAGTCTGAGAAGGCTGCAGGTATTCTTTTTAGAAGTTACGCAATAGTGAATGTCAGGAAGGCAGCAGAACCTGACGGAATTCCTGTCGCTGCAGCGCAAACGAGTCCAGAGGCTGCAGTGGCTGTGGTCACACTACTATTGCAAAACATCTGCAGTGAAGAAAAGTATCTAGTGTCTGAAAGAAGGGTTACCTGACAAACTGACAAAGGACGGTAGCTTAGTCCTATGCAACAACAGGCAAAAAACCATATTCTTGTCCACGCTGAGTTAACTGTCGAGTTGAGTCAGTCTTGAGAGAATGAAAAATGCACTGGATGCAGAACTCCACCCGGAACGAGTTGCGTCAGCAAAGTCGAATCACGCGCAGGTCGAATCACAACTCTATACAACATCATCAAACAGAGAGAGCATAGAGTGACAGTCAGATCCCCACCTCAATTTCATCCATTTTGTAAAGGCCTTCAGCAGACAGCGTTAACGGAGAAGTAATTTGGAAACCGATTCAGCACCACGGAGTAAAGTGACCCAAATCCTCATCCACCTCATTCAGCGGTTGCCTATATGACAATGACACATGTCAGCTGATCCATAACGGGCAGCTCAGTGGAGCCTTCAGAGTGAAGATAGCAGTGGGAGAAGGCCGTTTTCCTACTATCACTGATGATATTCCTAACTGTGGTCGACTGGATCATTCTCCACACCTTGAGTGTGGAGAGTGAGAAGACAGGATTACACTGGACTGGTAGGCAGGCTCCAGAGTATCTGGACATTGCAGATGATTCATATCTAGTGTCACACATACACTCGAAGATCTACAGGTGAAACGGACAAGTTGGCTGAAGAGACAGGCAGCGAGGACAGGACTTCAAGTGGACGAAGAGAAGACGGATGTTATGCAGACGACCGACCAACAGTGGCAAAAGCAGCGAGCTCCAATCACTGTACATGGAATACATCCTTTAATAGGTCACCTTGCCCCACCTATGTAGGAAGTGTCGTTTCAACTGCGGTCGACAACACGGATGAGGATTTGAAATTCATCGAGGTCTGTAAGGCGAGACAGACCTTCACTACTGTGAGATCAGTTTGGAAATCTGATACACTCAGCATGACTAGGACAAGTTTGGGATTTTCGACACTAATGTCAAGTCGGACATTTCTTCTGTTTGAATCAGAATCACGTGGCGCGCACCACGGAAGGCATTTCGAACAGACCACTGCATATTTTGATAAACGGTTGCCTTCACTGGCTGGATATTGAAGATCATATGGGGAGTTTGAAGTGATGAGGAAGGAGAAACTGTGTGAAGGAAGCAATTGAGAAGCAATCGTGGAAGAAATATGGTGATCAAAATGGAGATGGATCGGCCACATACTGATTAGACCGTTGGGTATCACCTAACGCCAAGCGTTTTGTTAAGATCAATTTTTCTATTAACTTAACATGTGTACTCAGTTAAGCAACAGACGGGAAAATCACATAATAGTTGTACACAGTCGGTGACAGATATGTAGTAACGTGCTTAACATGGCCATATAATTTAATGAGATTTCTCATTAAGTAATAATTTTAAGAGATTTCAGAGTTACGCAGAACGTCAGTCATAAGCACAAATATCAATAACATTTGAATATATAAATTCAAGATATTATTGTGACATACATCTACAAATGGACAATACTCCATTGCATCCCATCCTCCATAACGGCTTCTGCTCTCAGCAGGAACTTTAAAATTCTCATCCATATACTGGTATTCATCAGGTATAGGTGTTTGGTGATTAAACACATTGCAGTGACCACGAGCTTTATCAAAATTTACACAACGTCTTTTATCGGGATCGTCACAGAACGGTTGGATATCTTGTCGTCTACAAAGTGAATAAATAATGTTTGGTTTGTGATACTCAGTTTCAAGATTATGACAGAATATTAAATGTAACTGGAATTTATATTTATATACTTACACATAGAAAACTTCTCCACCCACCTCATTCTAACTTGGGTATAATTCCAAGTTCTACTACTTTGTTACTAATACTATTTGTATATTTTTGTATAACATTAGCAACAGGTCCTATTCAGGCAGTTAACAAGCAAATCCAGTGGGAAGTCGTTACCAGTAGGGTACACAGTAGGTTAAAGTTGAGGCAGTAACTTATCGAAGAAGACATTTTGAAGTGGTCACGCTATGCCATGAATTGGTAGAAGTTACAACTCATGGACTGGCTGGCCACTGGATCCAATTCAGTCGCTTAATGGTCTACGAGCACGCTAGCCTTGTAATCAGAAAATCCTGGGTTCGAGCCCTTTGTGATGGATGAGTACTGATGAAGAGTTGAAAACTAGATGGCGGAAACACCTGTCCACTACTCCTTAGTGGGTTTTCCAATATTTCTCAAACCGATGTCAGCTGATGATGAAATCCTCCATCCAATCAAACAAAATCCTTACAAAACCAATACTCGAAAATCTTTTTCTTAACTAACCCTAAATGTACTCTCCCCACCTATTACATAATTTATTTTAGACGTTTTTCTCCAGGCTGTTCAGTGACTATTTTTTTTCTGGGCGTCTTCCACAATACGCAAACCTAGCCAGTAAATACCACTCTTCACCTCCTCCCGCCTAATTACAATTTCATTACTCATCACATTTTTGAAACATTCTGATGACAATCGTAATGTATAGACACACACACAAAAGGATTATGTATACATGCGATTGTACAGCTAAGTGAACAGATTCACCGTGGAAAAGAGACTCTTCGTTGAACGTTTTGTCTATATATTCATATAGCAGAAAAATGTCTAAAAATGCTAACTCAGTGCTCAAATCATTCTAGAAAGCTTTCAACAACTGTAATCTCATTTTTTGAAGGTTGAAAGCAATCGGCAGGAAGCCGTACTTGACCTAGGTTTCGTGTTAGTTAGAGCTCACCAATAGTCAGCAAAGTGTATCTGCAGTCTTAAAGGAACTCATGTTCCTTTGGAGATTCGAACCCGCGTCACCCAGTGAGTCCAACAGTCAGAGATGTGACCACTGAGGTAATCGGGCTGAAGAAGTGTACCGAATATTTTTGATAGGATCATAGTTAGTAACTAGTGTTCAATCAAAGTAGTCTGATTATTGAAGACAAACTTTCGCTTGACTCACTTCAACTTTCTATTCTTTATGAATTCATAGCACGTTTTCATCACGAAATCACATCCTAGATTCTTTCCCCATTTGAAGTCATCAGCCATTGAGTAGTTCACAGTGTACATGCTTCACAGAAAAAAATTAAATTATTTGTATCAGTACTGAAAACTGGCATAATACTCATTTAAACTTTCTCATAATTTCGGTGGAAGTGAGAAACCTTCAAATGTCAGTCTTCTGAGATATTTATGAGAAATGTTATAAACAGCTATGATTTCTCATTTATATGGATTTCACCACTTTGAACGTTCTGCCTAACCTGTGTGATATGAAGTGAACGATTCATTCAGTCAGTTGTCTTGTGGTGAGAGCTGTCTCCTAGCGAAATTGTAGACAACAATTGACATCAGTGTTTCCGTCCCAATCGGGTTCATGGGGAAAAACAAGAACAAAGCTAACCTTGAGGAACTCAACAACCAATCACAGCAAACTTAGCGTAGGCGGATATGATTCGCAGATATTTGACCAAACTGTCTGAGAAACAGCAACAAAGGGATGAGAGAATAACCTTCATCAGGAAAATAACCAATCAGAAGACACTGCTTGTATGCTAACAATAATGAATAATAATGTACATAAAACTCTATAAATATCTCTTGATCTTCTCAATAAACAATCTGTTGCCTGCCCCTTGTCTTCTGCCGTTACAGTTTTAGTTAAAGGTACTTAAAATTTAGGAAACAACTAATAAAAGCGAATCAGACTTTGTGAATTCATTTGAAATGATTGTTCTGTCTTTAGGAGGCATATAAATTAGTCAAAATAAAGTTGTGGGAAAATTTGAACATCTACCCACGCCTGACCGCTTGAAATGCTTGAAATTTTCGATTTACTCATACATTCAAATACTTTCGTTGAATCAATAAATTTATTGCACATCATGCAGGTGAAACACACACCTCATCACGATGTGAAGCTGTCATTTTTATATATGCAACGGTTCCAGTATACTGCATGCAGGAATAAATATAAAGTGAAGGTCAGGTGAGAGCAGGCTGCTAGCCAATTGGTAGACATTAATTTACATCAATGTCTATGTCGCTAATATTGGCCGTGAGAAAATATGAATAAGACTGATTCAACAACCAATCACAGCAGACTTAACGTGGGAAATACGATTCACAGATATACGGCTTAACTTTCTGAGAAACCAGTCACAAGCAGTACAGAATAACCTTGAGCAAGAAACAACAATCGAAAAACTGTGTTTGTCTACCTAAATAAGCTATAGTAATGTACATGAAATATATATATAAACACGTGCCTATTTCCTTAATAAACGATCTGTTGCCTGGCCCTTGTCTTCTGTTGTTACAAAGATACCGTATAAATTCACATACCCTTATACTTTATGCCTAAGAATATTTAATAAAGGGATTTAATTGTGCTACATTCTATATCTCTAGAAGGCAATCGCATTATTTCTGATAAAATTTATCAGATACTCATTTTGGGGTCATATTCTACTCGGATCAGAGTCAATATAAAGTTTTATTTATAAGGCGTTATTTTTAACATTTAACTGGTTTTTGTATGATAGACTTACTTTGTATCCTCTAGATAAGCTAGAGTTATTCTCGAGAGCAAGGTTGCTGCCATTTTGTGAGCTGTCATAAGGTCATTCTAATATAACAAAAAATTTAAAAATCAAAGACTGTTATTATAAATCAGAGATGTTAAGCAGATTAATAATAATAAAATTGAGTTATTCTCTGTTACTCAGAAAAATCGTTGGAGACAGCGAAACTATCAGGAACTGCCCTAGAGATTACGTCACACAGTGAAGGCAAGATTTATTATAGTTAATAAATACTCTTCAGTAAATATTATCATTTGATGTTTTCTGAGCTCAGACAACACAAGAACACCAACACTACTCACCTAAGATACTAATCCGCTCAGACATATCTTTTGAATTTATTTTCTATCATCAGGTGTCGCTTGCTTAAATGCGTATTTGTATATATAGAAATCTCCGATCTTGTTACGTTAGCAGTCGGTGAGTGACTGAATTTCTTATTCATTGTAGTGATTATTAGTATTATATTCTGTTATTCCTAGAGGAACATAGGGCTTCAGCTGCGCGTCTCCATTGCCTTCTATTTTCTGCCAACTCTTTCACCCTGCTCCAAGTCTGCCCACATGCTTTCATCTCCTGTTCACATGACCTCCTCCAAGTCACCCTTGCACTGACGACCAACTCGCCGCTTCCCTTTCGGGTTCCACTCGAGCAATGGCTTGTCAAGTGACGTCACTTGATGATTTCCTCATAGTATGGCCAGCCAATCCATCTCCATTTCTTCCTGCCTATTTGTTTCGCAATCGCTTCCTGGTTGGTTCGCTGATTGCCAGAGATCCCTGTTGCTGATCTTTTCTGGCCATCTGATCTTGAGTATTCAGCGAAAGTAGCTGTTAATGAGTTTGTTTGAGATGCTCATTATGATGCGCCAAGTCTCTGATCCGTATAGCAGCACTGACTTCACACTGGAGATTGGTACAGTGTGGTGAGGTCTCCTTTGCCTGCAGCTTGTTCTGCTTCGTTTGCCATGGTTTCATAATATTTTCTTTTGTCTTCCCTGGCACTTTTCTCACTCTTTTGTTCAGTGTATTGTAGCTTGCATTCAGCTCCTGTTTTTGTTGCTCGTCAGTGCACTGGATAATCTTTTGTTTCACTGTCCTACTCTCTTCTATTAGTTTCCAAGTGTCCACAGTGAGCCACTGTTTGTCCTGTCTGTTTTTTCTGCCTGAACTTCCATGCAGGTTTGACTCCACACCGTTTTCAAATTGTCCCAGTGCTATTCGACGCCGACCTCTTCGCTAGCGTTGATTTGTGTCTCGGCTTTGTCCCTTATGCTTGCAATGGAGATGTCCTTTGTATCTTGGTCCTTCAGCTTTTGAGTGTCGAACTTGCTTGTGTTCTATCTGCAGCTCCTGTTTCCCTGAAAGCTTTTAATTTGATTTGGATTGTCCTTGTACGAGATAGTGGTCTGAGCCAACGTCTGCTGCTCTTCTTACTTTTGTGTCTAGTAGACTGCGCCTCCACTTCCTTGAGCACTTTTGAGATGACGCCAATTAGGTTTGCCCATCTGGTGACACCAGCGTAGCCTTGTGGATATCTTTGTGTTTGTATACGCTGCCACCAATCACTAGTTCGCTGAAGGCGCAGAAGTCGGCGAAGAGTTCTCCATTTTCATTCATTTCTCCGAGAGCTTCTCTACCCATGATGAGTTCCCTTCCTGTGTTGTCTGGTCCCAGTTTGGCGTTCAAGTCTCCCAGTGTAGTGAGATAACATAGAAATCATTGGAATTATAAATCTACTAAAAACGAATCATTTGCTTTTGTTCCGGAAGTACGAACAAAATTTTTCATAGATTAGAGTATTAAAACAAAATAATAATTTATAGTGTCTAATTTATGGTGGAAAATTACTAATGACAGTCTTAAGTATAGTAAGTTTCATATTTTGCTTGTTGAACTGTTTAATTCATGGAGTGAAGCTCTAAACTCTGGGCCAAAGGTTCGAAAGAAGAAGGAATTCACTAATCCTGAATAACACATACATTTCGAATGCATACAAAATTATCTGAGTGTCAGCCGATTTACCTATATTTGAAAAAAAACGTTCGCCTATTAGGTTACCGAAATAAAACAATATTACTTTGCATAGTTTTGATTCAAAAAGTCGATTTATTCATTCACCACATATTCCTAATTGTGGTGGACTGACTGGATTATGCGTCAGACAATGGGAAACGAGAAGACAGGAATATCCTGGACTGACCGACGTGAAGAACCTAGAAGACCTGGATTTCGCGCGTGGATCATTTATGTTTGATTTTGAAGCAAAACCAAAGAGTTACAAGCGAAAACCGACAAACTGGTCGAAGAAGCAGACAGTGAAGACAGAACTTCAAGTGAACATAGACAAAACAGAGGTTATGAAAATAACCAACCAACAACAACAGCAACATCCAGCGCCAATCACCATCAACGGGAGGGATTTGAAAGAGGTTACTTCATTCACACACTGATCTAGGGAGCATTGTCCCAAATACAGGCAGTCGGAACGGACGAGGATGTCAAATCGAGCGAGAATCGGGAAGGCGATCGAGAAACACATTCATCAACTTGAAACAACCAATCTGAAAATCTTCGTCACTCAGCCATCATCAACAACAAAATTCGATCGGATTTTCAATACAAACGTCAAGTCAGTCAATCACTTCTTCTATATGGAACGGATGAGAAACTTGGCGGGCGGGTCACAAAGAATATATTTCCCACCAACAGGCTGTTGCAGACCTTCATCAACCAACAACTGTCTTCGCTGTATCTATACTGAAGATCAGATGGCCGGGCCGGAAAGAATCACCAACTATAAACTATGGCGGGGAACAAACAAAACAAGAACCAATCGCCAACCAACAAATGTGCAGGAGAAAGTGGAGATGGATGGATTGGACACTCGCTGAAGAGGCCTCCTCTGGCTGACATCGCGCGCGCCTCAGGCCATTGCTCGAGTGGAACCAGTCTGAAAGGGAATCAGCGAGTGGGAAATTAGTGCGAGGGTGACATGGAGGCGATCATGTGAAGAGGAGTTGAAACAGTATGGACTAACATGGGTGGATGCAGGTGAAAAGTACAGCAGAAGGAAGACAGAAGCAAATGGAGACGTGCAGCTGAAGCCCTATGTTCCACTAGGAACCCAAGGGAAAAATAATATTAATAATATATATTCAGTTGAATAAAACCAGTGAAATATCATTTAAGAATTTCTAACAACAACTAAATTCAGCCCCAGCATTTTATCCTGGAACATAGTTCACCAGACAGATACAGAATAACTGGACAGTGCAAATGCTTAACCAAAAAAAACTTACACCAAGTATTCTATGACTAAAATGATCACTATATATTTCGATTCCATCTAATTCATCGCAACCAAAGTGTTTTCTGGCTTCCTCCTAAATTTACAGAATAGTTGAATATAAAAATGATGGTACCACTTCATCAATAAAATCTTATAGTGAAAGTAATAAAATCGAAACCATTGAAAAGACTGATTTCCACTTGTACACTTTTCGAAAAGGACATACATCACATCCTCGGAACATTCTTTCCTATTAAGGCCATTATTTCGCTAACTTTTGTGGACATATTAAATATCAAGGAGCTGAATCAACTTTCTATGCATTTTATTTAACTTCCAAATACCTTGCATAGGTATATCAGTAGTAATCCATGATACAAAATAACCAGCTAAGTTAAAAATCTTTTTAGCACATAATTTGTCTCGAATTGGCCGCCTTTTCGTTGTAAATGATGAAATTACATGTAAACATAGTCAACGGATTGCGTCTGTGGCACAGCGGAGGAATCCTCGCTAACCACGCCACATGTGTATTTATGGGACTTGGAAGGGGTATGCAATTATAGGATTTGTTGGCAAATAGAATAAAGGTAAAAACGTTGGTTAACATTGTGTGAAGTTTGATAACAGAGAATTTAACGCTTCAAAACAAAATTGATTTAGAAATGACAACTGGAACGAGTGAAATAATACTGGGGACAATGGAAAGTGAGAATAGTAAATGTGACAATGAACATAATGAAAGGAAGAGTATACAAATGGAATAAACAAAACGAAACATAAGTAAAGCCAAAATATGACTGGAGATTATCATTTTTTTATTACAGCTTGATTCCACACTGTATTTTTGGTACAAGTATAGAATTTTCAGCATGGATATCGGTAGCCAAAATTTCGTAGACCAACCAGAGATAACAGGTGTGCATTTTTTCGATGTGATTTTGTTCTCTGAGCTGGATAGTTAGTTTGCGAAGGTTTCATCACCTTACTGGGTGACATCTTCAGCGCATACTTCAAATTGAAGTGAGCTTTTAGGTTTCTCCACGAGTTTATTAATCATTCCTCCTGGTGACCTTGGACGTGATTGGTTGTTTATGTATGTTTTCACACCTTCTAGGTTACTTGTGTTGGAACTGATTGTTTCTGTGACTTGAACTTTGGCCAATCGTGTGTGAAGTTTCTTTCTTATTGGTTGATAAATTTTGTCTATCTCGATGTGTCTATTGATTGATGATTCACTGGGATGCCAAGCTTCTAAAAATTCTCTAGCATTCTTGTTGTTTCCTCTGTCTAATATTTGAACGTTGTCCCAGTCGAATTGATGTCCGTGGTTGTCTGTGTGTAGTGAAATGAGGGAGTGTATATCATGTCTTTTGACGGCTAGCTTATGATCGTGGATACGAAGACGAAGGGGACGTCCACTTTGGCCAATGTAGTGTTTTTCACAGTTGTTACAGTTTATTTTGTAGATGATGTTGGTTTTGTCTTCTTTTGCTGTTGAGTCTTTTGGTTGACATAGAATTGAGTGCAGCGACTTTGTTGGTTTGTGTACGACGTCAATTCCTAAAGGTTTGAAGAGTCTTTTAGTGATTTCTGAGATATCCTTTATATACGGTAAGGCGATTTTCTTTGTGTTTTCCTTGGTGGCTTTTGTTTTGGTAGGTTGGCTTGGGGGTATATGTCTCTTGATGAAATTCCGGGGATATCCATTCTTTTGGAAGATGTCCATGAGATACTTTTCTTCAATTTTTCTTAAGGTGGGAGTGCTGCAGTGAGTCCTTGCTCTCTTGAATAGTGTTTGTATGCAGTTCCTTTTGTGTGCTATTGGGTTGTTGCTGTTGTAATTCAGTATTTGGTCTGTGTGAGTTGATTTCCTATAAACTTGAGTTTCTAATTCTCCTGTAGTTGTTCGCCTGACTAAGACGTCCAAAAATGGTATTTTGTTCTCGGATTCCTCTTCTCTTGTGAATTTGATGTCGTTGAAGACGTTGTTTATTAAGTTGTGAGTTTTGTCTAATTCGTTTCTTTTGATTATTACAAATGTGTCGTCGACGTAGCGTATCCAAATCTTGGGTTTGATCTTTGGTAGAATTATTTTTTCGAGTCTTTGCATCACTGCTTCTGCAATCAAACCTGATATTGGCGATCCCATGGGTGTTCCTTTGACTTGTTCATATATTTGGCCGTTGAATTGGAAGTATGTTGTTAGGCATAGATTTATGCATTCCATCCAGCTTGTGTGTTGCATTTTTGATTGTTGTGGAAGTTGTTCGTCGTTGCTAAGTAATTGCTCCATGGTTTCTTTTGCTAGTTTTTGTCCGATAGAGGTATATAATGCTGTCACGTCGAAGGATACCATTATTTCTTGTTCATCTATTTGGATGTCTCTGATTTTTTCTAGGAATTGGATAGCAGAGTTGATGGAGTGATCACAGGATTCCGTTAGGTGTTTTAGTTTTCTGTATAATTCCTTGGACAAATTATATGTTGGAGTTCCTGGGAGTGATACAATTGGTCGTAACGGGATATTTGCCTTGTGTATTTTGGGTCTGCCGTAGAATCGAGGTAGGACTGGTCCATTGGATTTCATTCGCCATTGGTCTTGTTTTGTGATCTGTACAGTTTTGCTGAGCTTGTTTAAGGTCCTTTGGATGCGGTTGTCCAATGTTTGTATGGGATTTGTTGGGAGTTGTTGATATACATCTTCATCTTTGAGTAGTTCTTCAGCTTTCTTGGTGTATTCTTCTCTGTCCATGACTACTGTTGTTCTTCCTTTGTCGGCTGGTAAAATGACGATGTCCTTCCTATTTTTCAGCTTTTTGAGGGCCTTTAGTTCTTGAGAGTTGAGTTGTGTGTGTTGTCTTTTCTGTTTGACCATTGGTACAATTGTTTGGCGTATCTCTTCCTGTGTTTCCTCGTTCAAGTTTGATGATTTGAGTAATGACTCAAGGGCAGCGAAGAAATCAGTTTTTGAAGCATCTCCGGTGTTGTAGTTTAATCCTTTTTGTAGTAGTTGTTGTTCCATTTTTGATAGTGGTTGTTTTGATAGGTTGACTACGCAGTCTATGGGCGTATTGTCTGGTTGTTGTTTTCTAATCTTGGCTAGCTTGGTTTTGAGGACTCTTCGTCTTTGTTCTCTGTGTTTTCCACTTGACAGTGAAATTGCGGTGATCAGCGTTGACAGGTGTTCTTGGTTGAGGGTTTTCTCTAATTTTGCTTTTTGGACATCTATTATTTGTTGATATTTGTTGATCCGATAATGTGCGTCCGTAATCATTAATTTGACCATTCGTCTTCCACATTGTTCGGTCAATTTCCATCCCATTGGGCAGTTGACTGGTGGCTTGTATCTTACACTGTTTGGTAGGATTGAATGACGAAGGCACTCATGGAGAAAGAATAATTGTTCTCTGGTGGATCCTTGCCTTTTGGCGAAGTCTTCCCACTTTTGGACAACCAGTCACATCCAAGGTCACCAGGAGGAATGACTAATAAACTCGTGGAGAAACCTAAAAGCTCACTTCAATTTGAAGTATGCGCTGAAGATGTCACCCAGTAAGGTGATGAAAGCTTCGCAAACTAACTATCCAGCTCAGAGAACAAAACCACATCAAAATTATCCACCTGAGCTACAAATCTTCTCTATCATATCTAAATCTTACGAGCGGGATACGCTTCTCTCTGTTCGAAAGTGGGAAGACTTCGCCAAAAGGCAAGGATCCACCAGAGAACAATTATTCTTTCTCCATGAGTGCCTTCGTCATTCAATCCTACCAAACAGTGTAAGATACAAGCCACCAGTCAACTGCCCAATGGGATGGAAATTGGCCGAACAATGTGGAAGACGAATGGTCAAATTAATGATTACGGACGCACATTATCGGATCAACAAATATCAACAAATAATAGATGTCCAAAAAGCAAAATTAGAGAAAACCCTCAACCAAGAACACCTGTCAACGCTGATCACCGCAATTTCACTGTCAAGTGGAAAACACAGAGAACAAAGACGAAGAGTCCTCAAAACCAAGCTAGCCAAGATTAGAAAACAACAACCAGACAATACGCCCATAGACTGCGTAGTCAACCTATCAAAACAACCACTATCAAAAATGGAACAACAACTACTACAAAAAGGATTAAACTACAACACCGGAGATGCTTCAAAAACTGATTTCTTCGCTGCCCTTGAATCATTACTCAAATCATCAAACTTGAACGAGGAAACACAGGAAGAGATACGCCAAACAATTGTACCAATGGTCAAACAGAAAAGACAACACACACAACTCAACTCTCAAGAACTAAAGGCCCTCAAAAAGCTGAAAAATAGGAAGGACATCGTCATTTTACCAGCCGACAAAGGAAGAACAACAGTAGTCATGGACAGAGAAGAATACACCAAGAAAGCTGAAGAACTACTCAAAGATGAAGATGTATATCAACAACTCCCAACAAATCCCATACAAACATTGGACAACCGCATCCAAAGGACCTTAAACAAGCTCAGCAAAACTGGACAGATCACAAAACAAGACCAATGGCGAATGAAATCCAATGGACCAGTCCTACCTCGATTCTACGGCAGACCCAAAATACACAAGGCAAATATCCCGTTACGACCAATTGTATCACTCCCAGGAACTCCAACATATAATTTGTCCAAGGAATTATACAGAAAACTAAAACACCTAACGGAATCCTGTGATCACTCCATCAACTCTGCTATCCAATTCCTAGAGAAAATCAGAGACATCCAAATAGATGAACAAGAAATAATGGTATCCTTCGACGTGACAGCATTATATACCTCTATCGGACAAAAACTAGCAAAAGAAACCATGGAGCAATTACTTAGCAACGACGAACAACTTCCACAACAATCAAAAATGCAACACACAAGCTGGATGGAATGCATAAATCTATGCCTAACAACATACTTCCAATTCAACGGCCAAATATATGAACAAGTCAAAGGAACACCCATGGGATCGCCAATATCAGGTTTGATTGCAGAAGCAGTGATGCAAAGACTCGAAAAAATAATTCTACCAAAGATCAAACCCAAGATTTGGATACGCTACGTCGACGACA